CACACCCACACGCACACACACACACACACACACACACACACACACACGTTTCTAGCGATGAATGCAGTACCAAAACTGACCTCCGGGTGGAAGAAGAGAGCCACAGGGCATCGAAACTGTTGGAAATGATCAAGAAGAAAAAGCCAGTCAGCACCCACAGTGACACAGTTGTCGCACAGGTTTCAAATATCCTGGAAATCTCCGTAAATATGCTTATTTCTGACATTCTAACTCAAATCCTTCAGGGAAATCTGCACAAGGTCCTGGTGCAGTCATGTGACTTTGTGTGAGCCCGTGATGTCATTACGAACATGGTGCCCATTTTAGGAGGTGCATATGAAGGAAGCTGTTACTTTCTAAAAGCTTGCTGTTGGGTCAAGAAAGGTAACCAACCATTTTACCATGAAAAAAGTTTTTCAAGATTTTGTTCTCATTTTTTAAAAAAGAAATTAATGCACAACAACTTAGTCATAGTCATAAGAACTGCTTTGTAACATGTATGTCATTTACATCATAGCGAGTGTCATTTTAAAAGAATAGCATAAAAAATATTTGATATACAGTGATCCCTCGTGACTTTGCGGTTCGTTTATTGCGGGTTCAGTGCATCGTGGATTTTTTTCAAACATAAAAAAAAAACCCAACTTTTTTTTTACATATACATGGAGTACAGTACTGTATATGTTGCTCTATGTGACTCGCTGTTGTTTTGCAGCTTCTCGTGGGCCGTTTGCAGACTTAAAAAAAAAAAAATTTAACCTGTTTATGTTAATTGGACGCTACTTCGCGGATTTTCGTTTATCGCCGGTGGTTTTGGTCCCCATGAACCGCGATAAACGAGGGATTACTGTAGCTTAATGGTATGTGAAGCTTTTTTTTTCAGGTTGCCTCCAAGGACCACTTGAGTAGCACGACGTTGGTGACATCTGGTATGTTGAATGTTTATCAGCGTTTTTTTAAAAGAAATTTTCGGTTTAAAAATAAGAGTTGTAAATTATTTGATTATTTATTTTATATATATTTTTTCTTCCAGTGCATTTCAATGGGCATCAATTATATGCTCATCTTGGCTTGCCCAATGCCCAAGTCCCTATCCTCTGCGAATAGCAGAGGTCGACTGTATAATAGAGCTCATATTGTTTATCGTAATACAGATTCATTTATTGCTTGTGTTTGTTAAAAAAAGAATAGATGGGAAAAGGACCTTGAAAAAAATTATTGTATATTTAATCACAATCACAATATTGAAGAAAACAAATAGCACTTAAAATATTTTTCAATATCATTCATCCCTACAGTAAATATATTTTTATAATTAAATGCTTAGTGGGCCCAATTAAAGAATGGGCTGGTCCATACTGCTGCAAACCCCTGTTTTATATCATCCTTTACAGACCACGGAGTGAAGTTCTAGCAAACAGATACCAATGGGAAATGACAAATAAATACATTAACCCCAGATGAGTCGGAAGTCTGTGCTCTGCACTCGACTGAGCATCTTAGGTTTAGTTATGATTGTATACAAATCATAGATAAACACCAAAAGTCACATTCCATGCTGAGGGCAGCGTGCCTATCATCTGCTGTCCCCTGGCACCTCAACACAAGCAGAGTTGCCCACGTCTCCCATATGTCGCTCTCCGCGGCAACTCAGCTTTCACGCTGACATGCCGTACTCTGACACAAGAGCTAATGCCTCATTAGGTCATCTATTACGAGGGAGGAATCTCCTCAGCACCGGCACACAACATCAGACCTGTTTGCGACCATGCACACTCGGACAAATTAAGCATCTCTCTTTCTCGTCTGCTGTTTGTGTGACAAGCATGACTGAGCACCAGTAGTGAAAATCTCCGTGACCTGCCTGGCTGCCAGCAGTGAAATGAGGCCTGCTTTTACTTGAATAAATTGGCACACTCCGTCCCGGGGTGTCCATTCAATTTGGGGGCTGCATGAATATTTCATTCCTTCAGCCCCACTGGCAAAGCAACAGCCTGCAGCCCTGCGCACTGTCTTTTAAAAAACGCAGCCACACTTCCCATCTGGTGCTGGGCCGGCCAGGTAGGTGTGAGGAACATTTTGAAGGTCAACGCCTTGTGACCTCCTGCAGGGGAGACACTGATGCCTCCCAGCAGGCACTAGCCAGGAGGGGACACACGCTGCCACGGTTGCAACTCTCAGTGGAGCAGGATGGAGGCGAGACTGCGTGCTGCCATTAAAAGTTGATCCTCAAAAGAGTTCACTTGTTGTCTTGACTTTAATACCCAATTTAAGGAGTTTTCTTTAATAATCTGAAAAGGACTCAACAAAACATTTAGGATGAACTGGATTGTGGAAATTGAGGCCTGTCAAGGATCTTGTCGTGAAATGCTGAATGTGAATTTGTTTTGTCACATCAGCACCAACATCATAGTGTGATTTGGTGTGATGTTTGTGTCTGTTACAGAGAAACAACTACACGCTCACTCAACTTACATTTTGTTGGGTTTAAGCCATCCAGAATGGATTTGTTGTTTGTTTGATTTTTTTAAACATCCATCCATTTTCTGAACCGCTTTATCCTGAGGAGGGTCGTGGGTGTGCTGGCTGAAATTGTTGCAGGCCAATAGCAGTTTTTTTTTTTTAACATTAAATACTAATAATTAGGGCAGGGCAATTAATCAAAATTTAATTGTGATTTCAATTTTAACTTCTCTCGATCTTTAAAACGTTACAATAAAAGAACAATGAATAATGTGTAAAAAGGTGTGATGTTGTAAAAGTAACCTGAATGCACCATCATGGTGCTTGCATAGCAAGCATGTAGTGTCTGTGATTCTGCCGTCCCTGACCGTGCTTTAAGCCATTTAGGGACAACCGAGTTGGACTTAAGAGTAAAACTAAACACACAACTAAAAATAATTACACGCATTGTATATTGAAAGGGTGCCACAGTGGTCGCCTGGTAGGCATGGCCGTCTCTCAGTGCAGAGCTGCAGGGTTCGATTCTGGCTCTGGCATTCCTGGGTGGAGTTTGCATTTTCTCACTGTGCTTGCGTGGGTTTTCTCCGGGTACTTCGGTTTCCTCCTACATTCCAAAAACATGCATGGCAGGTTTATGGAACACTTTAAATTGTACCTAGGTATGATTGTGAGCGTGAATGTTTTTCTATGTGTGCCCAGCGATTGGCTGGCAACTGGTTCAGGGTGTCCCCCGCCTACTGCCAGAAGAAAGCTAGGATAGGCTCTAGCACACCTCGTGACCATTGTGACGATAAGTAGCTCGAATAATGGATAGATAGTATAGTTAAAGGTGGAACAGTGGTCGACTGGTTAAGACATCCGCCCCAGTGTGGAGGTTGTGTGTTTGAATCCGTGCTCTGGCCTTCCTCCGTGCACTTTGCACGTCCTCCCTGTGGAAGAAAGCGTCTGTCTGGTTGCCAATCGTAACAGTTAAGCCCAATATTATTTATATCCTAATTCAGAAATTTAGAATCGTTGTCATTATGGAAACAAATTGTTATAAAAATACTAAAATAAATAAATTCAATGTGTTGTTAGAAAGTAAGTGGAAATGATATCAGCAGGACCTTTATCCCCATGACAATAATGTTTTATTTCATTTTTGGGCTTTTGAATAAGTGTTTTTTTATGGTGGAATTATTCATACATTCCTGTCTTATTTTGTGGGGGAATAAAACCACACACACACACACACGGAAACAAACAAACAAACCATATGAAGATGGAATCATTATTTTACACCACTGTTACAGTTTTTAATCTCAAGGAACCCCAGGGTGGAAGCACAGCATCAGCACGGTTCTTGCCATATTTAATTTGACTTCAAGCTATCGCTATTAACCGGCAGATTTGATCCACAGTTTTTACATTTACAGTACATGCACCAGAAGACTAACAAAACATTGGGGGATCCTTGTGAGGCTCCAGAGGTGATTTCAGAAGATGTAGTTGCCAAAATACAAAACACTTTGGAAAATGGCCACAAAAACATTTCACCTTACAAGAGTTTAAAGCTAAAGGTTTTGTGATAAATCATCAAGTTGGAGAGAAAGTCATGGGAGACAAATGGAGACAAATGGTGCTGGCAACTGCCCCGACAATTTATTCCAACTTTGGTGTATTTACAAAATGCCAACATGCATTCAGGGTGTGCAGTTCATGCACGTTTGCAAATGGATCGCAGCCAGATGAGCTGTTGTGTTGCTACAACTGTGTGTTTCATGTGACAGCTCTTCTCGCTGCTTGTGGGCGTTTAATGAAGAGAGATCACACAATTATGGGTGAGATAATAATAATGGATAATGGGTGATAGGAGGCCCTGCCCTATGCAAGTGAGCCAGTCCTCAATTCATCGTATTACATACTCTAAGCAACAGGCTACTATTGGAAGAGCGATTGGTCGCTGCACTAGCACCACTCAATCTCAACATTGCAATTGTGAATCAAACGTCAGCCCCCACAAAGATGGTAAGGATTGTATTTTCCCTTATAGAAGCAAGACCAAGCTGCCAAATTAACTTAGCTGCGAAATCAATTAAGTGGTACCAAAGAAGCTAACACTTTTAGCTAATGCTAACCAGTCTGTCTAACAGAACAAAACAATTCTGCTTACCTTTTGGCTTTGATTTAATGATGTCATCACTGGCTAATTTGTTTACAAGAAATTAAAATGGAAATTTCCATCAGATGTCTCCTTTAACAGCACGTTTATTGGTTGATATTTGCTGCGAGTCATTGACACCCCCATAAATAGGTCATTTTATATAAGATGAATTCGTAAAAATCACACAAGTACATTTTGGGGATTTAAGTGAGGGATGCTCAGTCACTGAGCCATACAAATATAAGTGTTACAACAAACCTTTATAAACTCATACTGTACTTGTGAATGAAAAAGCAAAGCTCACAGTCTCTGTTTGCTAAAATGTGTGTGAGTGATGCACATACCGCGGCGTACATTCAAGTGATTGGGAGTGAGCTGACTAGGATCAGCAAGTGGCGTCGCAGGAATACTTAGCAGCCACAAGCAAGTTCGGCTTCAGGATTTTTTTCTCTCACGGGGCTCAAGCGGGGTTCGACCGATACATAAGGAGGTCTGAGAAAATAGTTCATTAATATATTTTAGAATACCACATCAAATGATGGAGGGGCTTAGCTGGGGCGAAGCAGATTTCTGATGGGCTATAGCCCCCTCTATCACCAGTGTCGCACCATCGCTGTCCACAGGCCAGTACTTTTCCAATTGTATGCTCTCTGGCCATCATGATGACAGGTTCAAATAAAGTAGTACATCAGTGCACACCATTCAGATGCCGCAATATAGCATAAAGCAATCAGAGCCAAACTGTTTTCCACTTTTGAAACAAGGAGAGCAAAGCTTATTTACATAATACATATTAATGAGAAATCCAGCCGTCTCATATGCTTGGTGATTTTAGCAATTTGAAAAAGGGCACCCTGGGCATTGCCAACCCAAACCAATCCAACATGTTTATGGTCACCATAAATAGATTTTTGTGTAAAATAATTATTTCTGAACATAGGAAACGGAATAAATGCACTTTTGTTTTGCATTTATTTGTGGCTAAATAAAACGTAACCAGGCGTGCCGATTATTATAGAGGACGTGATAGATACATAGATGGATGGATAGAGATAATTTAATATCAAAAAAGCGGTTCGGAAAATGAATGGACTTCTAATTGTTACAACCTTCCAAACTATGAAACTTTATTACATCAAGAGAAGCAAATGTTGACAGAGAAGAAGTGCTAAGCAGGCGTGACTTTATCAGTTACAGTCAAAGACTTGCTCTTTTTTTTCTATAATGGAGGAAAACAGTGAGGTCAGCCATGTAGTCAGTAATAAGCCTTACACCCAAAAGCATTCTCTCTCTCTCTCTCTCTCTCTCACACACACACACACACACGCACACACACACACACACACACACACACACACACACATTCCCCAAAGCTATGAAGGTGCTTCTTTTTTTCTTCTCTGGCACATACATTACACATCTTAATGCAAGGGATTCATTCCACACGCAAATTAGCACAATTAGCTATCTCATTAATTTGGTTCAAGGGAAGTCATATTTTAGACACATCAATGCCTCATTAAGCCATTTGAGCTAATTGACGGATGGTGTAAAAGAACTACAGTACAGTATATGGTCAACACAAACCCTTTTTAATGTCAGTAACATTTTTGTAGTCTCTCTGTCGTCAGAACATATTGTTATGCCACAGCTAGCAAGTGTGCACTGGCATGTGGCTCTTGATGCAGGAAGAAGACAGAGCCAGAAATGGGTGGATTACAAAGCTGTTGTTTGAACCCCGACTTGCCTGCATCACTGATCACATGTGTCCCCACCATGACTTGTGTCCTGTATACACATTGGACCCCCTATCCTTTGATACTAAAATATTTGGTACTCACTGGAATGTTGTTTTGTTTCATTCATTTTCTGGGAAATATAACTTTTTTGGGGGCGTGGGGGACAGTAACAACAAAAGAGCTGTATTTGCATCTGCTGAGAAAAGGTCTTATCTAATAATTAGAACAGTCTGCACTTTTGGCCTGCTCGATTCTTTAATCTGGCCCACAGAGCATTTACCTTATCAAGAGTGCAGTAATATTTTATCCACCTACCCATCCATCCATCCATCCATCCATCCATCCATCCATCCATCCATCCATCCATCCATCCATTTTCTAATTCGCTTATCCTCACAAGGGTTGCGGGCGTGCTGAAGCCTCTCCCAGCTGTCTTTGGGCATAGGCAGGGTATAGTCTGAACTGGTTGCCAGCCAATTGCAGGGCACTCATTGACAAGCAAACATTTGCGCGCACAGTCAGGCCTAGGGAGTGTTCCATTAATCTGCCATGAATGTTTCTGGAATGTCGGAGGAGACAGGAGTGTCCGGCACAAACCCACGCAGGCACCAGGAGAACATGCAAACTCCACACAGGAAGGCCGCAGCCAGAATCTAACATAACTGTGATGTGGACGTGCCAACCAGTTACCACTGTGCCACTCCAAAATAAATTGCATGACAGTTATCCAGCCGAAATGTAAACAAGGCATGAATTACTGTTTCTAAGAGCTGCTATGAAATGAGTTTTTACTTGACTCAGCTGCCTAAGATTAAAAAACAACTGGATTCATCAACAGCACCAATTTGAAATCACTGTCAATCAATTTAAAACCAAGAATGATGGCTTTAGATCAGATGCCAGGGGACCAAGTCAGCAGGGTGGGATGTCCACCTCGATACACTTTTTTATCTTTTTTTTTATTTTTTAAACCTGATTTATAAATTGCCTGTTTAAAAGTCAAATGTGGCCCTGGAGCACAAGTCTTTGTCAGAGTCAGGATTTAAGCTCGTTTAATTGTTCTGCCTGTCACTATATGTCGCTGGTATAGATGAATAAAGACACCTACTCGTAGCAAATAAATACATGGTCATTTTTGGATCAGTAAAGGTCCCGGTAAAGTGAAAATAAATGTTAACAACCCTGCTAAATTTGAGTGATTAAAAAAATCATGAAGAATATAAAATAGGGCCCCAGACCTGTGAAAAATTGAGCCGTTGTTTCCGTTTTCTGTCTGTGATGTGCGTACACTCAGGGCTGAAGACAAGGCACGCTAAAGCAGATGTACCAACTCAAGACCCCGGTCCACACGCTCGCCGACTTAAAAACAAAAATAAAAGAAACCCTCCTCCTTGCTCTTTTGTCTTTCTCTGTGTGACATGCAGGCACTAATGGTCAACAACAAGGTACTCTAAAGCGAGCATGCCAATAGACTCTATGAATTGAAGATGTATTTTTGGACTGTCCTAGCCAAAGTCATGTGCCTTTGTTGTGGCTTATCGCTACTCTTGTGTATAAAACTGGACCCATGTTGTAAATATTTTTAGTTCCCACATATGCACATCAAAACAATACATATACATGTCATGACAAACAATAGGCAGAGCATCCATTACGCATTGTTAAATACTAATCTACCAGTGACAGTTCTCATTGTGGGCTGCATGGTGCTGAAGTCTCTCGAGCCTTTCTTCTCCTTTTGATGGACTGCGTCCTTAGAGCCTACTTGGCGCTCGCCTATCTGCCATATGGTGCGCTACCGCAAGAAAAGAGCTAAGTCCAACACGGAGAGGCTGTCATGTGCGACATTAATTAAGCATTTTGAATGATGATGCCACTAATGAGCAGTGAGTAGGTTTAATGTGAAATAGAGGAAATCTGGTAAGAGGGGCTTTAGGGATCCTGAGCATATGCAGATGCATTTAGGTGCTATTCAATACAAATTTGAATAATATCGTCACAACACTGTGCACAACCCAATATAAGTGCTGTATGCAAAATCATGCTGTAAGGAAACTTTTGCTGGTGTTAATTTAACTACTACAGTATAGTCATGCATTATTTTTTTGTCAAATAAGGTAACGGAAATAGTAGACACAGCTCTCAGTGTGATGCAGCGCAGTTTTATATCTCTGATATCTTGCATGAAAAATGAATGGCTTCTTTGGCTTTTATATTCTTTGTGTGTGTGTGTGTGTGTGTGTGTGTGTGTGTGTGTGTGTGTGTGTGTGTGTGTGTTTTTCCAAATCTATAGAGTGTAAAGTGGATATAAAAAGTCTACACACAGCTGTTCAAATGCTAGGTTTTTGTGGTTGTCAAAAAGGAGATCAAGATAAATCTTTACAAACTTATTGAATTGAGTTTTATAAAATATTTTCAAACAGGACATAAAAATAATGAAAAACTGAAATTATGTAGTTGCATAAATACGCACACCCTCTTGTGACAAGGATGTGGTTGTGCTCAGAAATAAACAAACACGTTCAAACAAATGTATGTGGGCTAGCAGTAGCACACATTAGGCACCATTTAAAGTGCTTCTGATTAAACACAAATACATTTTAGTGGTTCTAGTAGGCTTTTCCTGACATTTTTTCCCCACTTTGCAGCCAAAGCCTGAAGGTTATGTGCTGACAGTGACTGTTATTTCAAACTGTTCATCGTTTCTTCCACCTTCTCTGAGACCCCAGTTCCCACTGAAGAATAACAGCCCCGAAGCATGCTGCTGCCTCCACCACCATGCTTCACAATTGGTATGGAGTGCTTTTAGTGATGAGCAGAGTTGTTTGCAGCAAAAAATACTTTTTGGAATTTGGCCAAAAGTTAGATCGAACAGACCATCAGACATTTTCCCACTTGCGTTTTGGGAGATTTTGCTCTGGTCCAATGAAACCATGGTTGAAAATGCTGGCCATTAAATCTAATTCACGAAAATCTTCATGTCTACTTTTGAGGCAGCAAGGTTAGCATGTCCACCACTGGTTCTAGGTTCGAATCTCATCTCTGGCCCTCCTGTGTGGCGTATGCAAAATCTCGGTAGGTTATCTGTGGTGAGTGTGGTGACCGATCCATGCCCTTCCTGGGGGGGGGGGCATGGATCATGATACACCGTGTATCAAGTTTTCTTCATTTTTTTGAAACTATAATGATGTCTTAATGCTTTGCTGTACACAATAGTAACGTGGTAAAAGACTGAAGCAACAAAGTGAGTGAAACAAAATTTGAATCACAATCAAATCTCTCCCACTATTGGCTTCAACTGCAGCTACCACTAGATGGCAACAGCGCAACACCCTTGTTCCAGAATTCCCTGCAGTCTCTCTGGCAACAAACATGATGAGCTGCTTTCAATTTTACAAAAAAAAAAGAAAAGAAAGACAAAACCCCGGAAAAACTCCAATAGAACATATTGATGTCTTAAAAAAAACACAGCTGCACAGATACTGTGAAATTATATAAATACTGAAAGTTTATTTACCTTCCAGTTCAAGACATGACTCCAACATTCATTATTGAGGGCAGACACCTCCAGGGGGCTCAGCGATGGTCAGTAATCAGGCACCTATTAACTGAGGCTAAGGATCTTATCATAACACGGCTCCGTTCACACCCCGAGGGGATTACATCCCACAAGATCCAAACCAAGACAACCTGTGATGATCATATCCCGATTTAAGCCGGCTGCTCATCCCCACTGGAATGTTTTCTTACAACCGTCTCACTCATTTCCAACACAACACATTCAGCGGTCAGTAGGGAGCAGCAGCACTCTGCTCTTTCTTCTTTGCTGTGATGAGCAACACTTTTGCCCATTGACATCTTTGACCTTGTGGATTAAAGGGGCTATACAAAATGAGGACTCTTAACGGGTCATGTCAAACAATGTGCAATTTTTCATTTAAAAAAAAAGTGCATGACCTTCACGTCTTGAATACACACGTAATCAGTAAGATGCCTTAAAAAGGCTTTTCTGTGACTTTCTTCCTTGTAGTCTATCATGATGTCTTTGTCACTTTTGACTGACAGTCCACACTGAGCGTATTCAAAAGGGAAGAAATCAAATCGTCTGATAATTCGGTCTGTCACAATGGTGGTCAGAGGGGTTATTTCGACAAGATTATTTCATTTGACACATTGCGACAACCACAACCAACTTTAATTATAATCACCCAATCCCTGAAATTTGCTGCGAAGGATTGTTCATCAAGTTTCCGTATGGATTTTCTATGGTTGATTAATATAATTGGATTGGAAATCAGCAATGTCTCAGTCTGAGCTGTTGCATCCACGGGTTGGATATTTTTATTTTTGCCTCTTCAAGTCCAAGTTGTATGTTTGTTTTTCAGAGAGCCGAGAGAAAACAAACCAGACGGCACACAAAAATAACCTGAATTATGAAGAGATTTTTTTTTAGCACCCAACTGCTAACTACTGCCATGCTAACACGTCACCTTGGTGCGATCGCTCCTCTTAAAGTAGCTCTGATGAGAAAAAGAAGGTGTGACTGAGGGAGAGACAGAGAGTGGAGGTTCGGGGTGAGACCTCTGCTTGTGAATCAACGAGACGAAACACATCTAATCCAATTCTAAGAGTGGAACCTCCAAATCCAAGCACTTGGAAAGTGGCAAAATTTAGCCTCACAAGTCAAACAAAACCAAGAGTTCAAACCGCTGTCACGCAAGACATTAGCAAAGATTGTGAGAGACTTCAGCAAGATTGTGAGAGACTTCAGCTCATGGATGTCAACTTTAGCTCAGGGAGCAGTGAAGTGTAGTTAAAAGTATATAATGGGTAACAACTAGATTGAAAATGACCAGAAAAGTGAGAAGCTAAAGCCACCAACCGTGTTGATATCAAATTTAAAACAGAACATAGTAAAAAAACATGGCTGACATGTCTGTCAGAGATGGGATTAATGTTGCTTTTTAATGTTATGAAGTGATTTACGTTTTATACATAGATAGCGATAAGGCATGTCATGTACTTAAGAATTCACCTGCTGAGTAATTAAAATCGTATGCCTGTAAAGAATGATTTAAAAAAAAAATATATATATATACATATTTCATTTTTACTTGGATGTCAACCAAATTGTGTTGGATTTATGTGTAATCCATGTGAGCCAGAAGAATAAATAAAGGATGAATGAAGGCAGCCATGATCGCACTTCCTGTCCACCCCAGCAGACCTCACCTTAGTCATCCCACACTTAAGTGGAGGTTAACTTGTTGATTTATCCTGCACATATATTCCCAAACCCATGGTTAAAAACTGTCTGACAATCATTAGCACCTTGTCCTTCAGTGTGATCCTCGTTTTGCAAAGTGCAAGTGGGAGGTAAAGTAGTGGTGTGGGAGCCTCTTGGCTGTAAGGGAGGGTTGAGCAGAGATGGATGAGATGGGTGAGACATAGGTCAAGGTTGAGAAAGAAGAGCAGACTGAAGAAAGTGGGTAAGCGGTTTGAAGAGTGCTATTATCAACATTAAGAAAGAAATGGCAGACACGTAACTCCCGAGTATTGCCTTTCTATGCCACACATTTGCCCCCTCTTGCAAGCCGTAGTTTAGGGCTCTCATCCCCCAGTGGACGTCGATACAGCACTACAGTAAACACCCTCGTAGGACTGAGCTTTGCTCTACATTGTGAAAATCTGCAAATGATTACAGCCCAAGAGGTAACTGCCTATCGTTGCCACGCAATGGCGGCAAAACACTTTTTTTTTTTTCTGTAATACATGGCTTTGTCCTGAGCACCGAAACAACAAATAAAAGGATAGACCGGCAGAGGAAAAAGAGATCTGGAGGCCGGCATACAATGAAGAAGAAGAAAGGGAAAACCTTGACAGCCTGAATATTAAGCAATCAAAGCAAAAACAACAATTGCGGGAGCAACCGAATATTCCTTGTGCCATGTGACAACGCATTCTTACGCCACTGAACAAATTAGTTTATTGTGTGTTGTTCATAACCTTCATGGGTCGTATGTTGGACCCCTGATGCCCCCATGTTTACCCAATTTTTTTTTTTTTGAATACTGAACTGAAGACAGTACCAGGCATGTCGTTGAAGGTAATGTCTGTTTGAGAGACACACCCTTAATGGAATCGAACCAAAGCACCATCTCTTACTTGGCTGTCGATTGGGCATCTAATGTATTTGGAGGAAAGTATTTATTTTAGCAAGTCATTGATGCTCTCTGTTGCCCTGCGATTGGCTGGCAACCGATTTAGGGTGTCCCCCGTCTACTGCCCGAAGACAGCTAGGATAGGCTCCAGCACCCCCCGCAACCCTAGTGAGGATAAAGCGGTTCGGAAAATGAATGAATGAATGATGCTCTCTGTAACTAATCAGGAGGAGCAATGATGGACTACGGTGGCCCTTAAGGGTCAACAAGATTTAACACTAAAGTGGTGGACCTAGTGAAGGCAACGCGCCCACAGGTTACACCCCATGCTAATAAACTGCGAAGATCTATTGGGAAAGTTCAGACCACAACTTCCCAAGCCATTCAAGAGACGCTCATATATTTCAGTCCCGTCATGTGGGAACACCGTGGAAGTAGTTTATCTGAATGCAATTACTTTTAACTTGGTTGAGTGACAAGAGGGGGGTTAGCGCAGGATGGAGCACAACAAGCTCAGACGTTGTGAGATCTTGACACGTGGCACCAACACCTACAAAAAATATATATCTAAATACTTTTTGCTTATGACTGAACAAGTTCACTCCCTAATTAAAAAAAAATGTATGAAAGCCCATCGTGTGTATTGAGCTTACGCTGACAAGTTTTAATTAAGTTTTCACTTGATTTGATTGCCAAATCCCATTTGCTTCTTGAGATAACTTAAGTAAATATCTGCTTCATAAAATGTATAGATCAAACTCATATATATTTGCATATTGATGTTGATTTTTTTTTTGTACACTATTTAATGAAAAACACAGACAACATCTTAAAGAAGTGATGTATGGCCAGTTTGACAGTTTCATAATTCGACTCCTTTTACGAGAGGGTCTCCTTGTTTAACGATGGTCTCAACAACGCTTCTTGGTTAAGCCTCTTCCAGTGTACAGGCCAGCATATGAAGGAAAAGTCAGGAATTTCTGTCTTTATTTTACATTTAGAAGCCATTTTCATCCAAATATGGATGTCATTAGGACTCCCCTTCTGCATTAGCATTGGTTTGAGAGGAGGATTGAATTTACATTCAAAATCGGGTTACGTCTGTTCAGACCCAAGGACGCCCTGTGTATTCAAATGTTGAATTTTAATTCAAATACAATGGTACTTTGACTTCCAAATTATTATTTTTTTCCATAACCAACCTTGTTCATGTCATTTTATTTTCTATTAAAATGAATTGAAATACTCCTCCATTAGTCCATTAGATTACAGCACCCCGGAAACCTTCACACATTTTTTTTCACTGACAAACTAAGTCGAGGTATCAAATTAGGTATGGCACAAGAGAGCCAATTTCCTTCAATGATAGGCTTTTTTTTGAAAGGTTATTTTGATGAGATATTGCCAATTTACAGTAGATAATGCCGACCCTTGTATCCTGCTCCTATATTCTGAGATGGTCTGTTGCTGTTTTCCTACATTTGGGTCGACCGTCCTTTGCAGTTCTTGACTACTTTGTGAGTAATCACAGGAAGGCGTCAAGCTCTACCCTATACACATGTAACTTTTCACTGCAGCTGGTACCCAAAAGTAGTGCGGTAGTGCCTCTGTCTTCCTACTCTTACTAATCATGTAAGTCCTCGAATAGTCATATGTAGTGCGCTCACATAACCCCGTACATGAGCGTACATGACACAAACATGCCCATGAGTCAGTTATTACCTTAAGCAGGCATTTCATCAAAGTTGTTTATCTCATGCTACGTACAGGCGCCTTGTGATTTGACATCCACAAACTGAGCACCTAACAAGCTGTAGAGCAAGCTTATCC